GGGGAAGGTTTTGCTATTTCAAGTCAATCTTTTGACATCCGGTCGAAGCACCATCGAGGCAATTAGGCACGGGAAGCGCACTAATGGCGTATACAGATGTAACGCTATTCTCGAATCTCAAGCCGCGAGAAAACCATAACGGGGGTCATTATTTTTAATGACTCATTTTGATAAATTAATTACAAATATTCGCAACTATAATGTTTCCTGGGATATCTGCTCAGATTATTATTTTGAATATGTAAACTTCATTATACATATTACAAATACGCTTAGCTTAATTTTCAGGTTTCTTGCTCTAGATATAATAATTTATTACATTTTTAATTTTTTACAAACACGATTTTTAATATTAAATATAATTCTCTTTTTTAATAAGATATTGCCGACTAAAATTTATTAAAAATAATTATGGCAAAAAAAAAAATACACAGATATTTAAAAAAAATTCTTCAATCAAATAATGTTGTCGCTGTCTCCTGTTTTCATCAGTATGTTTTTGAAAGATAATTTGAACTTCAATTCCTTTCACTCAAAAACACAGAAGTCGACTAAGTTTATTCAAACCAAACAAGGTGTGTCTGTGTGAAATCTCATTTAGGAAAATTCGGAGAAAAGTTGGGAAGCCGGTTGCCAACATTAGGTAAACAGGTGAAGTCGGCGGGTGTGCGCCAACCTTTTTCCCCTAATAAACTTACGAAACGGACCCTCGCGTCTTCTTTTATTTCAATTTCCCGTTTTCTAGTATCGAAGTTTGACTATTGTTTCAACTTTCGTAAAAATAGTCTAAATGAAGTGGGTAATTAACTGTTTATAAAAAACTTCTGTAACTTCAGCTACAGTAAAATATTATTGAGGTAAAATTTTAAATCATAATACTTAAAGATTTTTGGATGTAATTGCCCACTTTATTTAATTATAATGTTAATGTATGTTTATTATGTAAAAGTTACTGACTTAACACCTAAATTGAAATACTTAAAACTTAGAAGAGATCTTTTGCTTCTTTTTATCAATTTAATGTTTCCATTTTCCGTAGACTGAATCTTAAGACGTACAATTTTCATTAAGCTGTATTTGAATAATGTTTCATTGAAAATTATGGTTAGCTTAATTTTTACTCCATTAATTTCATTCTTGATTACTTTTCATTTTACGTTTTTCATTTATATAGCTGTTTAAGATCTATAAACCTTGCATTATTTACTAATTTTTATACTTATATACAAGCAATAGCCTTAAAATTATGTTTATAAGTTAATGGAAGTGCGATTCTTCATCACGCGACGTGTAATGATGTAATAAAGTCTTTGGAAAGAAAACTTTATAAGGCAGCATAAAGTTTCTGTTTGCGTATTATTAAGAGAACCAAAACTCTTGGAACTCTGTTGTTGTATACCATCCGAAAGATCTGTTTTTTACGTTTCATTCTTTCATTAAGAGATAGCTAAAACGGAATTGTAAAGATAAGTTAAAATTAATATTTTTTAACAAGTGAAAATATTTTATATATCGGATAATTTTATAATATTATAAACACAAGTATGTATTGTTAGTGTTTCCATTATAACGAATAAAGACTTCTTATTTTTTCTCTGATGTGGTTGGGAATATTTAATTCTTGTAACTTTTGAGGGTCTAGCTTTTTTGGTGGCGTTGTGAAATCTGTTTGTGCTAAAGTCGTCACGTGCAACCGCTGATGAGCCGTAGACGTGATATCACTCACTTGTACGTGCTTCTCTCTTTATTTCAAAATTTGTGCCTAAACTTTAATGTGAGAGTAAAAACCCTCTTATTCTTAATGCATCTTATCCCAAGCAATTTCTTTAAGGCTTGTTAAGACGTGGCTGTTAAGTGTTATAGTTTTAAAGAGTTTTCTTAATTTAGACATTTCCAAGGGTAATAGAAGTAATGAAACAAGAAAATTAAGAAAGTTCACCTTTACCCCCGAGAGAAGGATTTCATCTTAGAAACTATTATTAAGTGTATTTTTATGTTTAAACACCCCAATGAAATAATTTTTGTACGACTATTATAATGGTAGATACAATTAAGCTATTAAGATTACAATAGACGTATATATTTTTGTTTAAAATTTATACGCCTGTTCCCATTTTATTATCGTACTTAAAACTAAAGAATTTATTTTATATCATCAAGCTGTTGAACGTATCGATGTCTATTTAAACAATATTTTAAATGACTGATACTGTATAGATATAATAAGAAATATACTTGACGCCATTTTATACATAATATATTTCGGGTTTCTAATAATTCTAGACAAATAGAAGTATTTCACTCAAAACCCAATAAAGAAAGGTCTAAAGGATAAGGAGCAATTTTTTATTGGTAAAGATAGTTACAAACATCAACAATCATTATACATATATTAAATGGTCATAATGTTGAAAGAAAATTTAATAATTTGAAGAATTGATTAGAAATTCTTTAATATAACGGTAAACGAACTAAGACATGAATAGTTCAGATACAGAAAAAAACTTGTTACTTTATAAAAAAAAAAGAGTACATGGGATGGATACACATCCCCGTGGTTATCTTAATTTATTTTAGCTTTTAGAATTACGATTCAAGATTTGTCCGAAAAAAAAAAGATTTAATATAAAACATTCACTTATATGAGCATAACATAACCATTCATCATTCCATGAATTCACCGTGCTGGTGCGGGTTCCATCGCATTGTAGGGAAAAGAGCTTCAAAAGTGCCTGAGACTTGCGACTCAGGTGTAGTTTTAAGGGGCCCTTATCTAAGGCGCGTTAAACGCTCACCTCCACCGTGCAAGCCCCTCTCTTCCTAACCAAATTTGAAAAGAACCTACTAGGGCTACCTTCGTTGCGTTCGTCGTTCGTTGAAAGAGATCTATTAAGCACAAAGTACTCTAAAGATAGCGAATATAAAAATATGTCTAGAGGCCAATGCACAAATTCCTCTGTTATTTTATATTGCTTCTCATACGTATCCATCACTATAGTCCAATCCGAAACCGCTGCAAAGATAGAATAAGATTTAACATTTGTTTTTTAAGCCTTAGTGCCTTCTCTCACAAAACATATTAATAGATCCAACTGCCTCCCAACGGATGGCGCAAGGTTTATCGATGTCTTTACCCAGTATTACTAAATTACTCTAATCTAGCAGGGTCATTTAGAACGCATTGACATAAAATTTTAGCAGTGCTAGCGACCAATCATGAATAAAAGTGCGCCATTTAAGTGATAATTGCATACAAAAATCTCATACATGTAGCCACTTTTTCTGAATTTCCAAGCTCATTGTATTGATTTTATATTTAGAACTCTCGTCTTGACGAATAAAAGTCTTTAATATATTATCAATGACTTCCTATTTGATCCTAACCGTACTCTGTTACTTTGTGCTCCTTTCATAAACTGTTTATGAAATTGAAGTCTTGATTCTACCTCTAGGGCATCTTTGTCTTTTAAGAGTGATGTAACTACGTCATCATGGGATTTCCCCAGGATTATTTGTTCAAGTTTTACGAATGTTTAATTTAAGTTATTATTAAACAAACATGGAAAAATAGACAGAACTAAATTAACTGAAACATATGTATATTTAAAAAATATAATTGTAAATATTTACATACTTAATTCTGTCGTAAAAAATGATGTGCTTCCTATAATTGTAATAAAAGGTCAACAATTATATAAAACCAAATAACTCTAATAATATATCGATGGTCCCTAAGTAAAGTATTGAATCTGCAAAATGACGATTTTTTTTATTGTTGTTTTCGACTCATAATTAACACATCTTTGCAATGGCTTTTTCAGAAATATTATAAATACATTGCTTATACCCTTTACCGAAACGTATAAAATCGAAAATACATATATAGTTTACGCGGCGTATAACATCGAAAGATAACTTTCGCCGTTTACGTGGCTTTGAAGAGTGTGTAACAAGGACGGAACTGCCACTTTCGCGAGTGTAAGAGTGAATGTGGATGCGCTCAATGTTTTGATAGTCTACCGGTCGCACAATAGGTTCTATTTGTGTTAATTTGGTTAATTTAGGATTAAATCCTCCTGTGATGAATCGGTTACCCTTAAAAATGTATTCAAGATCAAGAATAATTGTGGAATTAGTGACAGAGAGAACAGAATCAGTTATTTTTGAAGCCGGTAAATCTTAAAATATATGTGGCACTCTTATCTTTTGTGTCATGTAACCGTAACGTAAATAAATGGTGTATATAGAATATATTATAATTATATTTTTTCTTCTTTGAGACTAAATTAATAAGCGTATCTCTAGTTTTGCTTATATTGAACGGGTGTCCGAAGTAAGGTATCGAATCCGGTAGATTCGATTATTTATGACGGGTGACTTATATGAAAGAGGATTGAATGTGCCATTTTCAATAATTTACTTGGTAATATCATTCAGCTTTTTGACAAATCATTATTGAAAGTGGTAATTTCGATAGTTAAAGATGGATCTTTGAATATCTTTTGAAAAGTTTCGATGAAAATATGTTAACAAAATGTAATAATCTAAATTTATTTATTTATTTATTTATTTATTTATTATTATTATTTATTTTATTTATGCGAAAGGGGCCAACCGAGCAGACGGCCTACCCGATGGAGTTAGTACAATCGCCCATAGACATCCGCAACAAAGTTTATGCATGTGTTACCAGCCTTGATAAGGGAAGAGGGGAAGGAAAATGTGGGAAAGGGAGTAAAAAAGGAAGAGGTAGGAAAGGGTAGGGGCAAAGGGCAACCGGCTCTCTCACTCATCAGACGAAACGCAGCCGAATAAGGCTACTTCACGCCGATCTTCTGTGAGAGGATGGTACTTCCCCGGTTGAACCAGCCCATTTTCGAGATGCAGTGACATGACCACAGCTAGGCTCTACCACCTACCTATTGCTATGATAGGAAAGAATTTCACCCAATGTTACATTAATTATGAATTTAAACTTATTTATTTAAAAACAATTTTAGAATCACCACTACCTACAAACTGCACCTTTAACGATTCGGATTGGAATATTTTAGAAAAATTAGTTGATGATGAACTATCTTCGGTCAGGAATCTAGCTCAGGAACAGATGCATAGTTTTTACATTCCTTCAGTAAGAGTATGTAATACAAAGTCGGTTATTATTGAAGATAGTGATACCAGTTCTATCATCATGTATAGTAGAGAAACAACTCCAATACCTACTACTAATTTAGACTTTAGTTCACCTGTACAACCCTCGGATTTGAAAGTTACCGTTATAAATTCCAATAATCAAAATAAAGCACAAGAAACTGAGCTTTCTGAAAAGTTAGGTGGAGGAGTTCTCGAATAGGTATCTGGATCATCTTTACCAAGTGTTAACTCATGTATAACCTTATCAGAATGTGACTCTCCAAGTACATCCAAGTAAATCATCTTTTAAAACTAACCCCGGTGAAAAAAGATTAAAGTGTCCAGAAAATTGGATCGATAATAAAAGAAAAAGCTTACTAAATTCAGGTCAGTAATATGTATCTCGAGGTGGAAAAATTAAAAATAAAAAAGAATTGCGCCCCGCTTGTCAACTTCATGTAAATTAAAATGCTTTGACAAATTTGCTACAGATATTCGCCAAAACATTCATAGTAATTGTTGGCAACTTGCTGATCATACGAAGCAATGGGAGTTTATAAATAAGTTTACTGAGAAAATTTAAAAAAACGAATGCAACGGAGGGACCATCAAGAAGACAAATTACAACTAAGTATTTTTTACCAGCACCGAAAAATAACATAACAAGTTTGTATGAAGATGTTTTTTGAAATACATTTTCTATCACTGACCAATTTGTTCGTACAGCACATAGTAAACTAAATCAAGAAGGGATTGCCTTAACAGATAATAGGGGTAAACATGCTAACCATCCAACTGTTGTAGACTCTGAAATGATTAAAAGTGTCTGTGATCATGTGGTGTCTTTCCAACCTATAGAATCTCATTACACACGGAAAGATAGCAGTAAACTTTATTTAGAAAGCAATCTTAATATTAGTAGAATGTTTGCGTTATATAAAATAAGTTCGCGTTTATTTTTTCGTGGATTTTTTTTAATAATAAAGGCCCCTATTTTAAGTTTACTTTTACTATAAGAAGAGATTTTTGCGTAATATTTTATTTTATAATTTAAACATGTGATTGTTATTGTGATCTCATTATAAGAATCCATTTAAAAGAATATTATTTTAAAAGATTAAGTAAGACTGATTCTTATTACTAGGAACCACGTTTAGGTTAGGGATTAATTTATGTTTCATCTGTAATAAGACTTCCTACTATATCTACCTTAATAAAGATGTTTTGAGTTAATGATTTTATCATTATTTCATTAAAAAATATCTTAACTACAAATATTTAACTTGGTATATCATTGAATTGGGTAGTTTCGATGAAATATTTTTACGTAAACCAATGGTAAAGTATCGAAATAGGCAGATACAATCATTATTTTTGTATACGGTTCCATGTAAATAATCGAAAGTGGTAGTTTCGATTTATGGAGGTTGTCTACTTACTAAGTATACTATGGAAACTAACTTTTCTGGAAAACTGTCTAAAATTATTTTTTAATCTCGGTACGTGATGGTGGGTAAATCCAACATAAATGTAATGTCTAAGTTTTATCAACCTGTAAGTATAGATGACAAAATTATACAAAAAATTAACTTTAAACAGTTCTCCTGTAAAGTACCTCATTTCACTTTCGATACTATACTTAGGGACCATCGATATGTAATTGACACCTACATAGTTTTCGTTACCAAAAAGTAATTAACCTACCTGGGTTCAGGAGAAGCTTACTGAGGTATAAATACTTTAATAAAACATGTCCTATCAAGAAAAGCCTCTTCGTAAATTAAACAATTTCACTGTAAACAATTATAATTTAACGGTCGTTGAATCTGTTTAGTATGAATAAGTTGGCGGTAGTGATAGTTTTCCCATGGCTTTAAAATTTTTAATAGCATCATAATGAATTCATACATTAAATACGAAAAAGAATAATGTATAAATACATAACTCATTTGTTTATTTATAATTAATGTTAAAGAAAAGAAGCAATGAATAAGCTATGATAATAAAAGGAAACGATCTCTTCAAGTCGTTTGTTTCTCTTAGTGAATGAATTGTAGATTTTAAATATTAACGAGAAAATGAATCGTTGAAGATGGAAAATTATCCAAAAAGAAACATATAAATCGTCGTATATTTGGGCAAAAAGCAAATTAAGCTTAGAACCGAAGTTTGAATATAAAATTTGTCTAAATTAGGATTAAGTAACATATGATCAGAGTAAATGAGTTAAGCATTAAATGTCCTGAAATACTTACATGGTGTTAAGATAAGAAAACAAACAATGGTATGAAGACGGATATAACGCAATACTAGTATTTTATATTCCTATTCTGTACATGGTAAGCAATATCCATAAATTAATTTAAATTTTTTAGAGTATTATGCTTTAACATGCTTTACGTATAACTCGTCAAGACATCCTTCGTTAATCTTATTAAAACTGTAGGTACTCATTAACTGTAGCTTTACAGTTGTAAGGGCTATTATTAATTAAAAATGTATGACATCTATCCAGAACTCATTTCAGTGTGCTATTATTGTAGTCCGTAGCAGAATTTGTGTAATCGGTTGGTTTCATAGGTGATGAGCTTAACTACTGGAGAAAACAATATTGGGAAGAGAATTATAGGAACCCCATTCACCAAGTTACGTAAACCGAATAGAGATTGACTGTGTCGTCGGCTTTTATGTGATCGAAAAGATAAGAATGAATCCGCTTTAGTTTCTTTTTACAAAAATTAAGAAGAGACGAAAAGCAATAAATGATTGTTATATTAAAGACGTTATTGAAATGATTACTTAATTAATAAATATATAATGTTTAAGTATACACAAGTGATAAATTTAAAACTTAAAATTCAGAAACGACTCTAAATACCTTTAAAAAGCAACCTAATATACAGAAAAGTATATAAGCTTAAATTAAATGCTTCATGATTAATTTGATATCATAAAAAAAATGCAACCATAGGTATGAAGCGCACGGGTGTTAGAAGGTATATGATTTATTATTATTATAATTACATATATGAAATTTTTTATTCTAATTATTGTTCGGCTAAATAACGCGCTAAAATTACGAAACTTAAATTTCCATCAATTCATTCATTAGTCTGCATCATAAAAAATATATTTATTAGACTATGTTCGTCCGTATTCAGTCACTTAAATATTTATGATGTACCTAATATCAATATTTTTAAATATGAAATTCTTCACAAAAAGTAAAATTGTTCACATTCGCTGTATTCTAAAACAAAGGAAATGGACATACAGATCGAAATTTAAATGTAGTATCTGACGTTATTTAAGTTTGTATATTGATTGACAATATGGGGTTGCATCTGCAGCTGTAAATTCATTAAATGGAATATCGTGTAAAGATTAATATGAAAGCAACAAATAGTGAGATTTTATTGAAATATAAAATATATAAGAACCTATTTTGTGATTATAATTTATAATTAATAAAAATCGAATATAATCGCTTTGAATATATTTTCTTTACTTAACAAACTAAATCAAACAATAAACAGAGAAAACAATATTAAAAATCGATTTAACTAGGTATTCAATATTTTTACACTCCGGTAACAAACGGAGTTGAACCCTTAAAGCAAACAATGCCACAAATTCGCAATCAATCATTCGAACGCTTATGTAAACGAGACAGTGTTTAGCAAAAAGCAGAACACACAGCACAAGCTGTGCGACGACCGCATTAATAATTTATCAGGCAAATGACGTCTGGTTGCTAATAAAGCGTGAATTCGCGCTGGAAATATTAATAAAAGCAGCTTGCCGGAACTCGCTTCGGAACCGCGTCGCTCGGACCGATGACAAATGACCAGTTGCTAGATTCATTTAGTTTCCATTTAAATACAACAAACAAAACTGATTATATTATTGTTATAACATTATCTAGTTGCAATATTGCATTATACATATATTATTTGTTTTTAATATAATAATGTCAACTGTGTTGATGATTAATTAAAGCTGGTTAATATGGAAACAGTCGCAGCTGTTCGGTTATTATGAATAGAATAATAAACAACTTCAGCATTATTTATGTTTCTGTCACTTTTATTTCTGTGTTCTTAAGACTAATTATTATTTTTTAAAAGATCGCAGATTCAAAAACATTAATGTTTATTTTAATTAAAGTGCATAAAAATATTTGTAATAATAAAGTTAGCGTGATTAAAGTATTGTGGAAATACATATGAAAAAGTTTGAATGAAAATACTTTGTTCATAGAAGTAATTTTATAATATTCAGATTACATATATTGTTATATTTTTAAGTGAGTAATAAATAAAAAAGTGATAAATCAAAGAGTTCATGTGAAAATCAATTCATGTGAAATTCAATTGTTTTAAAAATTCGAAATAATATACCATCACTTAAATGAAAAAAATAGAAAATGTTTCACAATTTACTTGTTATATTTTAGGAATAAACAAATTTCAATACTGCATTTTAGTTTGTCATGTATGTATGTAGGAGTTATCCTCCATATTACCTTCTATACTGATTTATCATTCACGTGATGGTCGCCTCGCAAGGCGCTTTCTCTGAGAAATATATAGCCTATTTGAAGCGCAGAAAGATGGGTAATTTCATTGAATTTATGAACGTATCATCGTTGAAATTTCGAGGTTGCAAATTTTGAATGAAAATCGAGACCGAGGATGTTAAATGTAAATTATTTGACTTACTTCGATTAAATTGGGTTGGTAATAAAGAATTTAATTTTTGAGATTATATAGGTAACATCGCACTTCACACTTAATATGTTTTAAATTTATCTTTATATAATTTATCACATCATCCATTTACACATTTTAAAAGTTATCTTATTATATACTAGAAATACAAAATCACTTAAATTTTCTCTAGAAACAAAATGTCTTTTTGAGACAAAGAACTGCAGGATTCAAAAAATGCGAAATTGTGTCAAGACATAACCTTACAAAGAGCTGCTAAGTTTCTTGTTTCATAAAATGTAAACTGGTTTTAATAGCGTTAATTGTTTCTAAAAATCATTTTATGTTATAGCTTTAAACATACTTCATATTAAACTTATTTATGCACATCTATGAACCTGCATCAAATTCAATACTGTATTTAAATAATATTTCATTAGATCATATACATATATTTCCATATTTTACATATATGTTATTACATTTCTGGTGCTTACTTTGTTTTAAGTTATTTATAAATATATAAAATACCTCTTTATGCAAATGAGCTTGAAAATAGAATCAACAATTATAATTTTTCCATCGTAGTTTAGAGGTTAATAAAAAAATTGTTTTATGTAATGCTAAAAATATCAAGCTCTTTTTCAAAGGGCCTTTTATAATAATATAAACTCAATGTTATATTGTGTACGGGGTGAGTTATTTACGTGTTTTCCATTGAACATTTAAATAGTAGGATAGATTTTGCTCTCTCTCTCTCTCTTTTAGCGACCTCTTTTGTTTAGAAATTGAAAATATATGTAAAGTTTAAGTACCTTAAAGAGTTGTTTCAGGTACATCAAGCTATTATCACCAGGAGTAGCACTTTAGAAAGTTAAGTAACTGTACTTGGAGTTGCAATCTCCTTCTGTAGGTACATATAGGTAATTTCTAAATCTTTTACTTAAGACACTGCCTCCTCCCGCTGAAAAGCTATAAATTGGCTCCTTTTTAAAAAAAATTTGAGTAATGTAATTGTTCCGTTTTTCTCACAGGATGAAAAAATAGGTTTGATTGTTCAATTTTATGTAAAAAAAATGTTACGTTCAGTTCATATTTTTTAATTCTTCAAAATAGTGAGCCCATATCCCTTGTACACAAACGTAAAGCGTACATGGAATCCATCAGCGAAGAGCTGGAATTTTGACATTAAAAAAATCTTAACTGTTTATCATGACCACATTGCCAGACTCAAGTTAGAGTTAGCGTATTCTGCTTAAATCTGAATGACAAATCACAAAGCTAACTGAAAGACACTTTCATCTCGCCAACCTATGATCACAGTTGCTGTAAAGAACCTAAACTACTTGTAGGCCTAAGTGAAACTAATTTAATTTCTTATTTTTGTATTATATCTTAAGTAGAACAATATCCTCCTTGATAGCAATAAAATTATTTTGATAAATTACATATGGTAAGTAGTTTTTCCTAGCGAAACATGTAATATATCAACATTTAAATGTAATATACCAAAACTTGGTGAAAATAAAGAATCCGTATATGATAGTCACATAAATCAAAACAGTAAAGTACATCATAACGGGATAAAAATAGAAAGCATTTTCAAATATAACAGATAGAACTAAATTATCAAAACATACTAACATATTCTTTTTTTTTATTTCTAGGCCTACTTATCGGAATAGTTACTGTATCAGACAGTGGCGTGCACACCATAGATGCATATAAGCACTGCATACCCTACTCATATAACAACTAAACATATATTGTATAATTCTTACTTATATACTTTTAATCATTCATTACGAAATAAAAATGTTAACAGACATTTAAAATGACATTTGATTCATGATTTGTTAATAAGTGCAATGGTTTATGTTAATAAGTGCAATGTTTCGTTTTTACATTGATAAATGTATCAATGTAAAAACGAAACATTTTCGAACGGCCCCTGTCAACTGCTAGCGCCGCTAGGCAGCCAGTGCGGCGGTATGCACAACCACTCTGCTTATTTTCCATACAAAAATTCTCAAGGACAATCTACAAATCTCGTGTATGTATGCAGGAAATGTTTGTATGTTGTGTGTAAAACTCACACATGTGTTCGAGAAGCTTTGATTATTTTGTATTGTTTAAAATCTCGTAGAAAGTCCGTTAACTGTCAAATGAAACGGGACGCTCTGATTGGTCGGTAAACTGTTCATATACTGTGTTCGCCATTTTAGTATTTTTAATATAAAGTATTATGATAGTTTTAATTAGTTATCAGGTTGTGTACACAAATAAGTTATTTTGTTTGCCTTGTTTCTTGTTTCAACTGATAATAATAAGAATGTTTGATCTCCCATAGATATTCCTATTTAAATAACTTTTACAAAGCTGTGATGAATAGATTGTAATCGTTTTAAGTTTCTTTCGTATCTCAAGTAGTTGAGAGATTCATAAAGTATATAGGTAGATGTTCGTTCTATTAATGTTTAAATGAAATTAATATTTTCTGATTACTTAACGTATTTTATTATGTTCAAAAACAACATACTCCCGACGTTTCGACTACTTTGCAGGATCCGTGTTTACAGCAGACATCTCGTCTGTCCTTTAAAAATAACAAAAATATTAGTTTCATTTAAAATTTAAATCAATACTTGATGAAAATTGGTATTTTATTTTTCAAACATATTCTGCTTACCCTACCCAAAATCTCTGTGCACGCCACTGCTGTTTTACTCTCATATTTTATTTGTATTAGTCACAGTTAAAACTATAACTTACTCAACATTTATAAGGCTCCGATAAGGTAAAAATATTTGGTATTAATCCAGGCACTTAACTAACTTTTTTTGCATTAGATTTGTTTATATCTTAAGAGGCTTGATTTAATAAATAAATGGTTCTATTAAAGATCAGGATTAAAATTACGTTTATTAGTTTGAAAAATCTTTTTATATAGGTCTACATACCTACTTAACTTTATGCCTTCATGTATTAACCAGTTGACAATATTTTTATAAGCAATAATTAAACAAATAGAAAACTAAAACTATTAATAAAAACCCCACATTTTTCACGTTGTATATGATAATATAACTCTTGTTTATCTCTATATTCCAAAATATAATTTTACCAAAAATAAATTTGTTATCCATTCACATATGTTTTATTAATAACATTGCTTATTAATAGACATACTAAAATATTTATATGCCCTGTAGCAACATTAGTCTGTTTTTGTTACTTCAAGCCGGAGAGAATAAAACTATTACCAAAGGAAACAAAAACATTTCTTTCATCGAGTCCGGGAAAAACCTAACACCTATTTATACTTTGTGTTTTAAATTTTCTGAAAGGAAAATAATTTTTTAACTTGAAATTATATTTGCTTTCTTTTGATAAAGGTATTTAAAGACATGTTAAAATCCGTTAAAACTAAACGCGATAAGTTGTCCAAAGTTTGTATTTTGTAGGTTTAATTTTTGTAAAGAAATTAAATTTTTATCTCAAATTGAAAGTGCAAATTTATTTAAAGATAACTTGAACATAACAGTAAATTGCAGAGATTCAACGCTGCAATAAGAAATGATATTTTTTATATATACACTTACGTAGCTTGCTTTATTTATTAAAGTATAATTTTGCTTATATCAAACTTTTTGTAAATTTAAATATTCTCCTTTTCCATGTTCCACCACTGTTTTGTAACAAAGCATATTGACCGTAATGTCCCGTATTCATAAATAGTGTTAATTTAATTTCATTACACCCGGATTTAAATACAAGGCATTATTTGTTAATATGTATAAGTTCTAGATGTCGAACAATGCCTATAAAATAAAAACTTACAATACGATTGTTAATCAAGGTAAACATATAAGATCAATAATCACCACAAGGAAAGTTGTGTAAAGGGAAAAAACTATCCGCAGGACTCTAAACTTCACGCTTCTAAAATTATTATTTTTAAATTTTATTATTTATTAAGTCGAATAATAAAATATAATGTATCTACTTTTATTTAGTATACCAATAACTATAACAAAATCTGTTATCAAATAATTTACAACGTCAAGTCTTCCACAAAGTATGATTTCTGCGGTAAAAATTCAGTGAAGACAGTAATACAAAGCAGTATTCCAGCTCAACAACTTAAATAAAAGTAAGATAATATTTTGTAAACATTTTACTGCGCCCCAGTCTGTGACGATATTGTGGACGTTGTTGCAAAACGACAGTTTTTACTACCTTCAACGAGACCATTTGGTAATGTTATGTCTCCGCCATAGATGCCGTCATACCGCAAGGCTACTAACCCATAAAATACTTAGGAGTAGCTCACCTTAGAAAAATATATTAATACTGAATGCAACGGCTACCTACTGCTTTATTACAAACAGCACTTTATACATTTAAAATGCGTAATAACAACAAACTTAAATGTAAAACAAAATTAGTTTAATAAGTTTGTAAACTTGTATTTAGAAAGATAATTTTATTCAATGTAGTCTCATAAGTAAGGATTAAATTGTAGGATAAGGATAGTATTTGATATATTATAAATATCAAAAACCTGTATCACTTTTAAGTCCGCCAATGGCATTTAAATGCTATCATTTAACTTATTTATTACATAGTTGCATTCGAAGTCAAAGTTAAAGTGGTAAGTTGACTTTGCATGGTCTCCGCTCCAGATTGCATTGCGCCTGACAGTATCAAGCTTGCAACTTTGTGGTGACATAACAGATAAGCAACGAACCACAAACTTACAACTCTTCCTGTTTCGTCAGTCTTAAGACACGATTCAAACCATTGTTTCAACTGATTTAAAGTGTCCCTCTACTTTGGTGTTTATTTGAAACAAGTTGTTTAAGTACACAGAAATAACTTCAGTGTTGAGTTTTTCTGTCACATCTTTTTATAAATGTCAATGTATTGAAACTTTTTGTAAGTATACTTTACTTGTAATAATACTTAAAGTATAAAAACCTAAATTACTGTTATCAGGAGGTGTGGAGGTGCCAGAGTTCGGGGAGCCAATCACCAATCTGACAGTTCCCATCGGGCGAGACGCAACATTCAAGTGTATAGTCGTCAATTTAGGCAATTATCGGGTAAGAAGACAATTATATAAATGCCACAATAACTTTTAATAGTCCTTAAGTTCGAATTCTCACACAAAAAAGTGTATTATAAAGTTACAAAAACCCTATGCATTATTAAAACCACAATTAAAATGTCAACTACATTTCAGACTACATATAAAAGTAATAAACAAAACTTGTTAATTCGTACTTGAATAATAATTATTATAATTAGTTCAGTAGTTAGTAACAGTATTTGCTTAAACCGTCATATCTCATCACACCGAACGTTAATGACGTACTAACAATAATTTATGTATTAAGGCCATTGTATTGTCTCTATATATTGATGGAAAATTTATCACCGGCAAATTTTATAATCACGAGTTTACTACTAACTTTACTATGGAACCCTATTCTTTTAGACATTTATGTACAATAAAAAACATTGAGAGTACAGTGTCATATATCTACAAAACCTAGTGACACATACAAAAATTAAATTCGAGATCCTTACTGTTACAATCCCAAAGACATACACCACAACTACATATTTAATCAATATTATATTAATGGTAAATATACCCGGTTTTTTGTTTATTTGAAATTTCATGATTTAAAATTATAAAAATAAAAATGAACTGTTTTACTTGAAAATATTTCTCTATGAACAAGAATATCGTAAATATTTTTCAGTCCCAATATTTGTAATGTCTGGTTAATGCTTATAAATTCACGATTTAGTTTTCCAACGAGATTTTTATAATAATAGTGAATGTTTACTTAAGTTAAGAATTTATTTCGCTCCACTATTTGTTTTGGTTGAATCAATATAGAATTCGAAATTTTTCTGTCTTATATAGTCAGTCAGAAAAATAATTGTCCTTTTAAAAAAAAATTCATATGAAGTCTATTTTAATATGAATTTATCCATTAATCTATACACAAATTACAAACAAAAAGGTTAATGAAGCTCTTTTACTATTCATTTAATTTAATAATTACACTTGCTCATTACTTACTATAATTTATTATCTATGGTAGCATCACTTTTTACTCTGTATTCATTATATATTTTAATCTGTAGAAAAAGGCTCTCTGGTTTCGTACATTTAAGTTTAGCAAGATTTTTGAAAAGGAATAACGATTGTTTAAAAAACAAAATGAAGCAATATAAGCTTTTGATGTTGTTTCTCTTTACAGGTTAGTAAATAATATAATGTCAATTTGTATTAGATATATAAGTAGTCGTAAATTGTATTTGCAAATATAATATTGATTGTATCAAACTTTTAAAACGTTTTTTGTTTCAATAAACAACATATATAACAAACGTTTTTTGTTTCAATAAACAACATATTATATATATATAATTTTTAAAAACAGACTAAGAAAATTAACTTTATTAACTTTTTATCAAATAATACCGTGATACAGATATAATGAATTCTAAGGTCTTCGCATGTATAAATTTAAATGAAACTAAGTTTTTCGTCTACTACGCATTTTTTATTGTTTTAGATCTATATGACCCGACGTTTCTGTTCCTTTACAGTAACCGTGATCACGGACAGAAAAGATGAAAGTGTCTGTGACACTTACATGTCACATATTATCCGAAAAACTGAGTTTCATTTAGAGAAAATATAAATCTCTTAGAACATTTTGATAACATAAGCATTTGTTTCTTTGCTTTAAATAGCTACAACGAAAATTGTTCGAAAGAAAGTGTTAGAAGTAACACAGTTTTCAAATCAACCTGGTGTCTTATAAATAATTTATTACATATAGTAATTACTTTTCATATAAAAAATTAAAGCTGAGAAGAAAGAAGGGACTATAATATCAATTTATTTTAAATTTCATCGGTGTGTTAACTAATTAAAATCGACATCGTTATCTTTCAATGAATGTGTTAAACAAAATAGTTCCTTTTTTAAAACTAAACCCAATAGCTTTTAGTATATTTATTATATTAATTTTGTTTGTAAACGTTTCAATTTTCAATGTTCATCGCAATTAAAACACGTTGTTAAGCGTCATAACTGGCAGTAATAATTAGATTTTTATTATTATAAATAGCATCACTGAGAGATATTGTTTTGACTAAAAGGTCTATTTCGAAACGAGCAATGGAATTTATTTAAAGTAGTAATAAATTACAATTTATAGAAATGCTACATACAGAGAAGCTCACTTATTATTCAATAAAGTGTTTATATATTAAAAAGTAACAGAAAAGACGGGATGAGGGCTTCAACGGTGCGATTCAAACCGGCAATTTCTTAAGTATCGCGTTATAGTTTCCTAACCAATTAACCTGTCGTACGATTCGAGTCGATGAATTAAGCTTTCTGGTAACTAACAATCATATTGAGAGGAAGACCTCATCTATTAGAACATATTTTCCAAGTTTCTTCTAAAACACAAAGTTAGAAATTATGGAAAAGGACTTTCGTAAGATATAGTGGAAAGTATATGAAATCTCTTTTTTCTTTTCTTAACACGATACCTAAATTGGCCTAGCATCTTGAACAAGATATTTGAAAGGTAGCAAAATCTAATCTTTTGTGTATCTTTAAGTTTTTCATTTCTTTTCCTGTATTTGAATTTTAATTCAAGTATTAGCTCAAGTATGCTTTGAATCTTAACACATATTTATACATGACTGTTGTTTTGATTGAATTTTGTTCAGAAATTATAATTTATTGAGTATAAATCTGATTCCCAAAATAAAAATATATAATTAAAATTAACAAAAACGTTTAGTTTACTATCAGAGCATTATATTGGCGATATTCATCTCAATAAGTTTATCTGTGGAGACTCCTTTATAGTATTAATCGGTCATTTTAGTTATCTAGACTCTATACACAAAGTCAAAGCCTGCACGACGTAGGTATTAATTAATTATTGTATGCAATTAATTGGTTTAACGAATGACCATTGTCTCGATTTAAGCAATTAAATTAAATGGAATCAATATACATTGTCACGCTTATCATTAATGCGAGACCAGAAAATTTATAAACATAAAGATAGATAAAAAAATGAGTAAATTTATTTACATCGTTCTTACCGCTAGCCTCACCTAAATCATAATCTGAGGTAGTGAAAAACGTACAATAGCCTCAAATCACCTTACAAAACGGTCTTTGTTGCTAGTATATGTAACGGCTTTGTTCAGGTTGGCTGGGTGAAAGCGGACACAAAAGCGATCCAGGCTATCCACGAACACGTAATCACGCACAACCACAGGGTGTCCGTATCACACGCTGACCACTCAACGTGGTATCTTCACATAAAGAACGTGCAAGAAGAGGACCGCGGCCAGTATATGTGCCAAATAAATACCGACCCTATGAAGAGTCAGGTAAATGTTCTATTACATAATATATAATAATTATATCTTCATCTGTATTGTATATTTATAACGACGAATATTACTTTAAATTAATACTTAAATTAAATAAAAACAATAAACTTGAAAAAACAAATTTTATACATATTTGCTCCCGATATGTCAATAGTCTTTTAAATGTTTAAGTGTATTACAATCATTTTAATAAAAGGTGAGGGCTCAATATTGAAAAAAATATGCCAATAACCCAATAATAAAGTTTCCATACACCAACAACGAAAGCAAATTGCCCCTTTCGCCTATTTAACATTCGACGCTTCAATATATTGCGCGCAGAACTGAAAAGGTTTCAATTAATTTAAAATGTGATTATTGAGCCGAAAAGCTGTACGAAATAATTCATTTTCAGAAAGCCGCTCGTAAATCAATCAGCCTTCGGCACTATTTATCCAAGAGTTGTTATATATTATACTAAAAATAGAGATTACCGTCTAAAAATTAAATATTATTAAAGCTTCTATTCTGGATTTATTTATTATTCAATGCAAGTTACGAAAAAAAATTCAAAGGAGCCATAATAATTTAAAGAATTTAATAAGCAAATCATAATATAAAAACCATAGTAGTATGTATAGCACATAAAATATTAATTATGAACTGGAACTAGCTGTAGTTATTTTTGTTTATCACTGTAGTTCTTAGTAAATGGCTTAACATATTTTATTGTACCTCGCATTATATGTATTTAAAAGTAATGTTAAATTATGGTTCATGAAAATAATTTCGGTCGGCTGTTCATTTCATAAAATAATAATAACCACGTTAAAATATTTTAAGATGGGCTATCTCGAAGTAGTTATACCCCCTGACTTTATACCGGAAGAAACTTCTGGAGATACGATGGTACCTGAAGGTGGAACGGCACGTGTCTCCTGTAGAGCAAGGGGGATTCCCCCGCCGAGAGTGATGTGGAAACGCGAAGATGGCCAAGAAATAGTCGTGAGGGACGCTACTGGGGCAAAGACAAAAGGTAAAACATTCTTTGATATTATATATTACGGGTGTTTTATTAAATATAAAAAATATAGTGTGTGAAATAGCATAAAGGTTTTGCATTCATTAGAAATAACTATTAATACCATCGTATATGGTATATTTCAAACGTCAGCCCCGACGTCTCATGTGGAGCGCATTGGAAATATCCAATTATTCATGACTCTGGCGCATAAATCAAGCTCAATTTTATCAAAGCATGGTTTATATTGGCTATGAGAACCAACGAGATCTGTGTTATATTTAAATACATTTGTAACCTAATAAAATAATAATTTTACGACTGTTGATGCACCGCTTAGTGAATCCGTCAATGGTTTCAGATTTATCCACCACATAACAAATAGTCGTCTTAATAGAACGGTTATGGTGAAGAAAAATTAAGCTTAATATGTGGCCCATTGCCCAAACAGCATGTTTATTTTGATGAAACCTTTTTTTTTGTCATTTGCACTGTTTGTTGCTGGCCGAATCCGGCAATGATGGTTAAACAAAATTTACTGTATAAATGACAACTGATATGACAAATTTAGTTACAACATAACGGTCGTTAGAAATTGTCAAAGTTCCGAGGTTGTCGTTGAAATGGCTGTTATATAAATAATGCATATTACTATGTATATACGTTACAAAGTAACTTAATTTTAAGTTTTCGATCTATTTGGATGGTTAGTAGTCATTTACAACATTTTATCAAAACCCAAAAGGTTTTTTTTTGTTTTTTGTATAATAACTATCGGTATGTGTACACAGATATTAATATTTATCCTATAACTAGTATTATTAGATATTCACTACAATTTCTAAATTAAATTGTCATGTCTACTACATATATTTGAACCTTTTATTACTCAAATATATATGTAAATAGAGTAGATATATCAAATAATTTAACGCTACTAAAAATGTTTACCTACCACTAACGTGTAATGTTTTTGTATTTAATTGTATTACATTAATTGCTTATATGTCATATTTATAGAGTATTAATACAAAACGTAACAGTCTATACATCAGTGAACAAATAAGCTATGAATTGTCAAAACAATTAACCACGTTCTAACAGTAAACATTGATACATTATTGGATTTGGTGCCTTAGAATTTCCTGAAAGACCGAATTATTTGCCGGCTTACCTAATTACCGGAATATAATTTCCTTCAACGTTATTAAGTAACATTCATATTTCTACACAAACTGTTCATAAAAGGTGATTGTGACAGTTACTGATAATATCAACGATAAACAACAAATATTTTTTTTCCTTTATACACAATATTACTACAGATATAGGTTCATTCTGAGAGTATTAATATAATACTATAATTTATTAATAATTTTCACTCTCATTCCAAATAATATTAAATTAGCGTAATTGCTAACACGATGCCTTATTTATCTACAAGTCTCAGAGCAAATAAGCCGGGGTACTTCATAATATAAACTAAGCATTAAAAATGTTTCATTTATCACGGGGGCGGTCTTACTTTTTTAATAAATCATCTAGTAGGGTAATTGGAAAATGCAGTGAAACTTGGTGACCTCAAATTACAGCCGGGCGTGCTGCAGGAAAAATATTTCATTTGTCTTAGTTTATCTGAATAGCGCAAGGACGGCATTGTTTTTCTGAATATGTATAATAATACGAACGTCTGTGTGACCGCATTTGTGGTGGTACAATGAGCTGCGGCGACTATTCTCGGGATGAGTTTCGCGTCCAGTATTGTTTAAAGTTTGTCGTAATTAGTATAGTTCCGGCCTGAATAGTCTCCTAGGTCGCATTGTATGTTAAAACGCTTTATACAGATCAGTAGGAATTCCTATCAGTTAAATTCACTTTCTCTCACAAGTTCCAGAGCCACAAAGAACTCTCTACTTTTTATTTCATTCTAATAAATGATTCATAACTTTTCTGCATTCATACATAATGCACTAACCATTATAAAAGGGGGTTTTACCGTCTTTATTGAAAAAAAACTCAGCATTAAAAATCTTGTAAAATTCTGTCTTAGAAGAATTATTTCAAGTTTCATTTAAATTCAATACGTTATTATACCTAAACGGTACCCTAGATTAGAATTTGAACCGCTTTGGGTTGTTTATAGATCAAATTAATGTAAACAATCCTACAGGTGCATTCCATTTGTAAGTGTAAACGTTGTGTCAAACGCCTTATAATTTAATGCATGTATGTATAATAATATTTTCATTATTAGTGTTAATCGGATTATAAAAGATAACACGCCGAATTAATTAACAATTAATATCCTGAATGTAAAACTATGTTTGGCGATTGTATAAATATTGATAGCGTTACAATAAAAAAAGACTTAATAATTTTCCATAAAAGCTTTCACTGCCTTATAAATTATGGACTATTATAGTATGTAATACCAAAACAACGCATCGATTGCTATTTATTGGCACTAATTTGTTTGTAACAAGTGAGTTCCTAGGAAAACCTCCGAATAATCGTACTATTGTTTGCAGTGCTTACATACCAAGGTGAGGTATTAAAGTTGACCAAGATATCGCGTTCCGAAATGGGCACGTACTTATGTATAGCCGGTAATGGAGTGCCGCCCACAGTGAGTAAGCGGATGCACATAAGTGTACATTGTAAGTTGATATTTTATTAGAGATCATAATAATGGGCTATTAACAGAGAGTTACATAAAAGTCGATGAATATAACGACTAGGGGAAGAATAGTGTTCTTGTATGTATTTATTACCGTTATTAAGAAAGCCTTTCTTATGCTGTCTTGTCGTCTTGCTATTGCAAAATATGTTGGCCTAATAAGGTTGATTAATTTTAATAAAATACTCAGGAATTTAATTATAATCTTAGTTCAAGACATAATTAATGTAAAGTTAACTATAGCTATCTTAGGTTCTCTACAAGGGCGTCTTATTAAAATACTTTTATTAAAGTTCTGAAATTTTTTTGTGAGTTATTTTGATCACACTTTAATAAGTAAGTTGGTAGTCTTCATATTAATTTAAATTCATTTCCAGTTCACCCAGTAATCCAAGTGCCAAATCAGTTGGTTGGTGCGCCGCTCGGCACCGACGTTACTCTCGAATGCTACGTCGAATCTTCGCCAAAATCCATCAACTACTGGGTCAAAGATCCCGGTAAATATTTAAACTCCGTATCCACTATGTTTTTAAATATGCAAAAGTCGTAACTTTTTATTTTAAGAATATTTTTGTTAAAGATGAAACTATTTATTTTTATATCATTATTATTAATTATTTTACAAGTTCACGATATTTATTGTCTTAATTGCGAAGTTAATATACAAAGTAAATTTTTAAATATTCATTCTATAAAGCCGATATTTCAACAAAAGATTTTTATCGAATAAACAACAACATTCAGACTATAGAAGAAATTTATAAAACACAAATCTGAAAATGCAAATGTAAGGTAGTCCGATAAAAAATGTTTGATGAGACTCTGTAAACCAATTAGTCGTACGCAAAGCTAAACTGTACCCTTTATTAACTTGTGATTCATGGTAAGTCATTTACAATTTGTTTTTGAAGTATTTGTTGTCGATGGAATAATAACGTTTGTTTTATAGTTCAAATATTCAAACAAATATTGTCATGGCCGTGTCATTTGTTCGTTCACTTCTGAAATAATAACACGGTACATTTATTGTATTTATTTAATAAGAACAGCTACATATTTTAAAGGATTAAATATTTTAATTAAATATATAAAGTGAAATGGAATAAATAATATATGGAATACACAAATTAAACTAAATTATTCGTTTGTCATTGCTGTAATACACAGGATGTTACTTGAAATTTATTTCTATTAATAATTAAATGTTTAAAAAGTTGCCAAGATCATGCTAATTTCCTACAAAAAACACGTTTTTTTGTACGCAACTAGTAAAAATAAATCATATTATATAAATATACAAAAAAAGTATAAATAATAAACTAATAATTTTTGGAAAATTAATATTTTCTTTAAAAACTTGTAAATATTTGAATACATAAAATTGCATAAAATATAATATTTCCTCAGCCATTCCAAAAATAACATATTGCAAAACAGATGCCTCGAATAGCAAAACATCCCGGGACATTTCTTTTAACTCCAATTTAGCATATTTTTCTCAATTTCAGCACCCTCGCGCCTAAAGGAAACAAAGAGAACTCCATTAGAGTGCCATGCTTATATTATCGCATTGTAATCTTTGCATTATTTTGTGTTGATATTGCTCCGTTTTAAAACATTTTTATCTGTATTGTCCCTAATTGTGTGGTAATAACAAAAGCATTATAAATTAAATCGAAAAGATAATTTCTCCATAGTCATATTATGTCATGTTTAATATTTTCTCAATATTCAGGAGATTTTTAAATACAAATAAGCATAATTGAAGTATATCAAATGCTAAAAAGATTATGATTAACTTGGCGGAGCATCACAAATAATACCAAAACAAATTATAAAGCGGATATAAAACTCTAGGTGTCTGCCCAAAGTTTTTACATTTTTCATAAAACTTTACGGAGAAAAGATGAAATTCTAATATTGGATTTGGAAGCAAATGTTTTAAGTAATAAATTGTATCGCAGGTGAGCTGATAATACCATCTGAACACCACGAGATGACTGTCAGACAAAAGTCGATGTTTGAAGCTGAGATGTCCATGACTATAAAGAACATCAGGCGAGAGGATCTGGGAAGTTACATATGTGTAGCGAAAAATTCTCTTGGCGACGTTGAAAGCAAAATCCGATTATACGGTACGAAAATATCATAAATTTCAATTCACCGACATAAATTTTCTTTATACATCATAAATATTCATATTACCGATATTCTGTTCATCAGTAACCTCATTACCATAAATAATTCTTTTAATTCTGACATCCAATAGAAATACCAGGAAACGACAGACACGTATATCAATACCCTGATGAAAGAACGACTTCGGACGATGAATACGGCACAGAAGTATATGACGATGACTTCGAGGACAAAGAAAAGAAAAGTAATCGAGTCCCAGATCGTGCTAACAAATGGTACTCCAACGATGGTAAGCTCATCGTGACTGCTAACAACGCGATAGGCGTTCTGTCAGATGCTTATATCATTACTCTAGTTAATGTACTCAAATTCTTAGCATAAAACTATGTTAAATGTATTTAAATCGATTATTAGCATAGCAGTAATTAAATATTTGTATCGATATACAGAAAGATTTTTCTGATCATTTAATCACTTCATTTGAATTCTAATTGGTGATCATAATTTTTTGTTACATTTTTGGAGTTCCGTGACCAAAATATAAATTTTCATCACCTTTTTTGCTATACGTCTCAATATTTTGTTCCTTTGTCATATAAACTATATGGAATATAATATGTATATCTTTGTATGTATATCTTTCGAACAATACTTTTTATCTGAGCAGTAAGATGTTAAAGCCCAGAATTGAGTTTCAAATTTTTGTTGTACGATAAACACATAAAAAAATATATTATTTTACTAGGAAATTTTAGGTCATGTCAACGAAATTAAGCATAAATTACCCTTAGTACTTACTAACACATATGTATCCAATTATCAAATTGTCTATATAGCTTATGAGGTGCGATTGTAACAAATTAATTTCAAATGGAACATGACGTACAGATGTACGTTACGTTACATTAACATTTATACCGATAATAATATGTATCATTGTTATAAAATCTATGTTTCATATATCACTAAATATATTGTGAACTTATTTGTGACATCAAATAATTCTATTCTGAATTGACGTCAATTTAAAATTTTGATACAAAAATGAACCAATATGAAATTTAAAACCATATTATGAACCGAGTATTTACCTCACTAAAGTATGTGGTACTTTTTAAACATTGCTCTGACGTCTGTGGGATAATTCCCCACCGCATAAGATCATGGCGTAAATACTCAGTTAATTGTATGATTTTAAATTAAAAATGTTTTAAATCATGACGTCAATAGGCCTATTGGTTCAGCTTTAAAGCTTTAGCATTTTTATCAGTAAAATATTTTTAGGATTATTTGTATTATTTGTTTTTGTTCATGCTGGTAACAGCGTGTAACGTGATAATAACTAGTTATAAATTGTACATAGTTTATATACTAAGCTTATATACGAAATTATCAAAATTCGAAGTATTTATATTTAACATGCCTATATTAATATAATTTCATATTTTCATCTCAATACTAACTTGTTTGTAATATATATTTTATTTACACAACCCGAAGAATGACTATATTAATTTTATTTGTATGAAATATTATTTATATCTCAACAAATATTAGTTTATTATGTAAATATTATTCAATATACATTAATTAGGTGCTATGTATTAAAATAAAATATCAATAACCGTTTATAAAAACAATTAAAAAATGTAAAATTACCCGTGCTTTACCTGTCTAGTACGTTTTAATGTGTTAGAATATAATATTCTGTTTCCAAAATTATACCATAAAAAATATAATTCCTATATTCAATATATATAAGTACTGTTATAAGCTCTTCCAAAAATGACCCTATATGATGTATAAGAGTTACCTTTGTACGATATTTAATAGTGCTATTAATAAATAACGATTACCCCTACAATAAATAATCTGATCGTTACCAAAAATAAAACAAACTACATATATCCAGTATGAGTTTTATTTATCGACATATTAATCTATTAATATAAGTAGATCAAATAATTCTATCCATGGATATTATATCCACTTTTTACAGTTAAAAATGTTCTCATATTAAACACTCGTTAATTACAATTACTCTCAACGCGTAATATATTACTCAAACATCAATTTATCCAATTAACTCTTGGTAATGGATGCAACATTTTTGCATCAACCAATTTTATTATTATGTCTTGTGATATAAAGCATTAATAATAAATTAAGTGCTTTGTTGAGGTCGAGCACTGTTTATCAGGAACAGCCCATCGAATATTGACCGAACCAATATTGATTGTTAAACTTTGTTTTATTTGTTACTTACTTAAAGCAACTCACATTAAACAAACCTACTAGCTATTTCAAACATAAGTTTGAATAAAATCAATTCTACGATTTATTTTTAAGATTATGTTTTTTATAGTTGCAACAAAGTATAAAGTTTTATGAGACGAAATTTTCGATAAAGAGTTCTCTGGGTGATTTTTATAAGTAAGTTAACTCATATTAATGAATAGCGCGAGAATTTATCCAAATATTATTTTTTCACAGATGATAAATGATGATGAGAAGATAAATGATTTTTGAAACTTCACTTTTACAAGTTTATCGGTTCATTATATTTATTAGAATTTGCTTATTCATGCGCTAAGTGATTGAGCGGAAAATTAGCTCATCGAGTGCCGTCAATCACTTTCGCCTTAGAGGAATTTAATAAACGAGATTGGAGATTATATTTTTATATTTTAACTACTATTAGTGAGTTAACATAGCATTAACGATTTCACGGCAACCGATAACAAGAAGTTGACTAAATTTATTTAGGTATCGTTTTCAATAAGCTCTTGCCTTAAATATAACAGAGTGATCTCGAGTCGAACATATAATAAAAGACAAAAGTAATTTCTACAATCTTTGCATTAAAAACCTTATTTTATACCAAAGAAAGAGTATATGTCACAAAATAATCCAAACGAATGTAAGAGAAGAGTTATCACTGTTATTTTTCTCTGAGACAAGAGGGATCTTACACTAACAGCCTTAATTTCGGCAATCTAAACATGGCACCCGACTGATTGATGACTGTTGTCTCCGAAGACTGTGTAACAAGTATTTTTACGTGACTGTAATCAAAGGCTAATTCGACTATTTAGAAAATTGAATTCGATGTAAATTCAAATTGGGGTAAAAGGGATTCCAAAAGACTCAACGTCACTTGAATAATAATAAAGTATGGAACGTGATTGTCTTTGCTTCAAACATTTTTGTGTTAATAGGACTTTGGACGTAGATTCTATTATACGCGACTATAATTCTATAATTCATTTCAAAAATATATTTAAGGTTATTTCGGAATATTTTATTGGAAACATATTGATTACTTTTGTATTAATTAACTGAGTGAATTCTAAGAGGTTCAGTTCATACCCATTAACCTCGTGACATGTTTATATTTAAGACAGTAATCAAAGAAAATGATTGTATGTTATAAATTATATTCTGTTCAAAAGACAGCCAATAAATACAACAATAGGAACATTAAGTATCCCGGCTCTATCAAACTGTCATTAACGCGAAGTATACAAGGCGAATACTCAAGTAATTATGTACTTTATTTATGGGTACGGACATTATTTGAATAACTATAGTTATAAGGAATTTTGATTCAGTTTATGATTGAGTGTGGAAATCAAAGTTTTCAAGCCTTTGTATCGAGGTGTATGTACATATAATATTCATCTGAATCTTCGTATACTAATCCTAAGATACATAAAATATTTGAAATCGGTTTATGAATAGTTAGAATCTTAAATATCTTTAAACTTTTGTAGTAACAAGAACAATTATATTGTTTTGTTAATTAGGTTCTCAGAACTCCCAAATATAAAAATAAAACAGCTTTACTAAGCAATAGTAATATAAAAGATTGAACTGGTGATAATTTGATTGAATAACCTGTATTGGTATTAATAGGAGGGTAAATAATGTAAAAGTTAACTTTTGTATTGGATAATGTTATAAGAAAAATATATTTAAAAAATGAGCTAGAACAAGGGATTGCTGACCTTTGTTGTATAAAAAACTAATTAACAAACAGTTGTTTAAGACTGGAATTAATCATTCGTGTTACTTAATCATTCATAACATTTCTAACAGACTCTTAATAGCGCTAAAACTATAGTTATGTAAGACTGCAGACTGGTCCCGAGAAACTATAAAGGATCTAAAGCTTCGTAAAAACTTCTCTCTTATCATATTATGCTTGAAGAACAAATATTATGATATAAAAAACGTTTAAAATTTATCATTAAACTTATAAATTTATTTTCATTTAAATTCAATTGTCTATAGTTTCTAGGAAGACGAAAATTCAGACCAATATATTTTATTCTTGTCTCATGTTATTAAGTTCGCTGCGTATAGTGCCATTGAGAAACTTTTAATCGAATTGAGCTGAGGGAAACATGTTCACAGTTGAAAGTAATTGAACACCTGCTTTTTTATTTAGAAATAGAAATAGTTTAATGTAATAGCGCTTTAAAATGCAGGAGAAAAATTAATACATAACTATAACTTATCTTTAATTATTTTCTTCAATATGTTTTTTAGATTGAAATTTATTTAAATTGCAATAAAACGTCTATTCTAATGGAAATGCTGTACTTAATGTTACACATGTTCACTTTTTATTTCATCAGAATCCAAGGTATATTCTTATATCGCTAATATTAACTATACTCCAATCTGAAATATCACTTAGTAAAATAGTAATTAAAAGGACGAAGTGTATTATTTTTAGCAAATACATAGTAAGAAATAAACGTAAAAGGTCACATAAATATGTTACCCCTCCCTAATTATATGAAGAATCGTAGCACGTACGTTGGATATAATTAAAATTCCATCAAGATTTAGGTGTTAGGGAATAAACAATTAGGAAGCAATATTTTAATTAAAAAACAGGATCTTATAGATCTTCTTATATTATTTTATATCGAACTTCGTCTTAATAATTGCATCAATATTTAAGAAAAAACAAGTGCTCATGCTCATATAGTCGGTATTATTCCTTTTTCACACACCAAAGAATATGATTCGCGAAAAGATCATATTAATTTTGCAAAGAAATATACAAGTGTATTAAGCAATTACTATGCAGCTCGCTTCCGTTCTTGAAAACTTATTGTTCAGCTTATGCCGTGCTCTCCTTAAACCTATTTCGAATGTACAACTTTTAGTTACACTCCTAAGATACTTGAATTTAAATAATAAAATACAAATAAATTCGTATGACAGTTTTGAAATGACTGTTTGGAAATTGCTTTAATTTATTTAAAATGTTAAATTCACTAAATATCGATGAATAAAAATTATGACCCGATGAACGTTGTTAATTTAAAAATTTGATTAATTAATGAAAAAAAAAATTACATTTTATA